TTCCATTCCTTATTTAATCTCAGAACTTATAAGTATGCTGATGGAAATATTGCAACTTCCATCATATAGTTTACAAAAATAAATCCTTCTCTATAATAAAAACAAAAATGTGGAAATAAGATAACACATAGGAAAAGAAGGTTTCAACATTAAAAAGGAGATTACAAAATAAAATAAACAAATTAATAAACAAACGCGTCGTCTCTAAACCCTTCGTGTTGAAGCATTTCGTAATCAGTTTGAATCTCCAATTCCTCTCTTCAGATTTAGATCCAAAGAGAAAGAGATCTTCGCATTGTTCATCGTAACTGACTCAAACACTACGCGATCTATCGATTGACTCAAGCGAGGCTTAAGGAGTTAAGGAGAAGACATGGGAGGCGCGCCTTCGACGCCGCGCGGCGGTGGCGATGATGTTTCCGTGGCGGAGTATCTCATTACGACTTTCGTCGGCGAGAAATCGTTTCCGTTAGCGTCCGATTTCTGGAACAAGCTACTCGAGCTTCCGTTGAGCTCTCGCTGGCCTAGTGATCGCGTTCACCAAGCCTGCGAGCTTTTCGGTTAGTCACTCACTCTCAGCTCATTTCACAATGTGTCGAAATGCTAGGGTTTCGTGTTCCGTGGAATTTTGCTACTTAGGTTTTACTGAATTAGAAAGATGTGTTATCGAATTGGAATGTTGAAATGTTTGATGATTGTTTTTGTGCAGCGCAAAGCAATGGATACACTAGGCATCTTGCGAAGCTGTTGATTCATCTGTCTTGGTGTTTGCAAGAGCTTCTTCAAGCTTCTGATGATGATGATCAGAAGGGTTCTATTTATAAGAGAGCTGTTAATGCGACTTATATTTCATCAGTGTTTTTGAAGTATTTGATTGAGAATGGGAAAAGTGATAGCCTCGAGGAGTTGCATTTATCTCTAGATGATAGTGAGCCAGTTCCTCATGGCTTTGTAATGGGTAAATGATTCTCTTAAATAGCTCCTTAACTCTTTTTGGCTTGAGTTGGCTTATTGAGAGTGTATTATTGGCAGATCAAGACATTCAGAACTTTGTTATGCATAGTGTGCTGAGTTTCATTGGATCAACTGAAGTGAGTCCCAACTCGTATGTTCTACATCAGGAACTTCTGAACTTCATGATTGTTGCTATGTCGACACAGCTTCTCTCCGGGCCATCACCTGGACCAAGTGATGCGAATCCTTTTATTGATGCAGCAATGGCTCAGGTAACATCTTAATTAGTTTTTTTTTTCTTTGTCTTTTTGCATGGATATTACCTCTGACCAATTATTGCTCTTTCTTTTATTTCATCATTTTTTAGGAAAAGTCTCTAGTGTGTCTGGCTGTCAGAAGATTGCTACTTAATTATATTTCCCGTACTCCTCCAAATGCAAAAGATTATATGTATTCTTATGGAGATTCACCAGGCATTTTGGAAAGAGTTGGTTCTGCAGCTGGTAGGTGATCGTGTTACAGATTACTTTACATACGGTGTTATTCTCGTACATGTTAACCCTTCTTGATTACCGTTCCGATACCTTATTTTATCCTGCCTAGCTTTGTGAAACGTTCCTTGTATTCATGATAAATTTTCTTTTGGATATGCAGCGACATTTGTGCTTTTGCCTTTGAACTATCTTGTAAATAACAGTGGTGACGGATCTAAACATCCATTAGCAGAGTGCAGCCTTCATGTTTTGCTTATCCTCACTAATTACCACAAACCTATCATGAGTGATGAGTCTTTGACGGATAAAAGTGATGACAGTGCTGCTTCAGAATCAGTATCTAAAGGGCATGTATTTTCCTCTGGCAATACCTTTAGCAAGGCTCTGGCAAATGCTAGAGATGTTGAATGTGAGAATTTTTTACTTAGTTGTCTTCATCTTTCTGAATAGGGTGAGTCCTATGTGCATAGCTAAACTGTTACTCTGATTGTAGTTGACCGGTCAGATGTTGATGGAAATGGCTACCCTGGTCCACATGTTCGGATACCATTTGCAAGTCTATTTGATACTCTTGGCATGTAAGTTGTATTTTTCTTCTAAAAAGTCGTTTTGTCTTGAACTTTTTCCCTACAGTAGCTTGTTTCTGTTTTTATTAGAGATTATCCTGTAGAAGTATTAGTTCAATGAGCTCTTTGCTACGGAGTAGTAAAAAAATCTGGCAATGTAGGTGTTTGGCTGATGAGGGGGCTGTCTTGCTCCTCTACTCATTGCTGCAAGGGAACTCCGACTTTAAGGAGTATGTTTTGGTGCGAACTGATTTAGATACTATGGTATGATTCATAAACTCCAGTATGCGTCTGTTTCATCTTCGAAAATGGAATTCCGTTCTTCAACTTTGTTCACACTGGACTGTTTTATTTGTTGAGATAAAGTCCTTATGTTTTCATATATATGATCTATGGTATAAGAGAATATGTATTTTGATGGACAGTTGATGCCTATTCTGGAAACGTTGTATAACGCTTCGAAGAGAACATCATCCAATCAAATATACATGATGCTCATTGTACTTCTCATACTTAGTCAGGATTCATCATTCAATTCCAGCATTCACAAGATGGTATGTGCTATTCCTATCAATAAGATTGAAATGATATTTCTCAACGTTGTATCTTTCTGATTACGGTTCATTTGAATAGATACTTCCTAGCGTTCCATGGTACAAGGAGCATCTCCTTCATCAGACGTCTCTTGGTTCCTTAATGGTCATTATTCTCATCAGAACAGTGCAGCACAATCTTTCTAAACTGCGGGTATAGCGTTGCATTCATATATTTGCAACGAAACATGTGTGTTTAATATGGAGATGTATTCAAGTTGATAGTCAGGTATCAATTTGAACCTGCAACTTATTCGGAGATGTATCCGTCTATCAGAAAATAAGCACTTAAGATAAATTTCGTTACGTTTAGGCTGGGTGGTGTTTTGCCTTTTATGTATAAAAGGCCATTTGTTTGGGAAATTATATTGTGACAATTTTTTTTTTTTTGGGCGTTTACAGGATGTGTATCTGCAGACAACATGCCTTGCAACCTTGGCTAACATGGCACCCCATGCCCATCATCTTAGTGCATATGCCTCGCAGAGGCTTGTCAGCCTTTTCTACATGCTTTCTCGAAAGTATGCAATCAATTCCCTGTCCTTAAGACTTTGCATATGTTCCATTTGTCTTGTGTAAAATAATGCTCATTGTGGATCCCATGTAACTGATCATGAATTTTCATAAACACAGGTATAACAAGTTATCGGAGTTAACAGGTGAGAAGCAGCAAAGTATCAAAATAAGCTTGGCAGGAGAGGGTGATTGCGTTTCCGAAGATCTGGTAAGGCATAGTTAGTTTTCAAGCACTTAATATATTGCAGTGGATCATTGTTATCCTTTAATGTGTGTTTCCCAACTTGCAGGCAGCGGAGTTGCAAATCTTTACTGATTTTTTGAGACTTGTCCTGGATATATTAAATGCAATTTTGACGTACGCGTTACCAAGAAATCCAGAGGTATCACAATGTCATTTTTTCTTGGCAGCACACAATTTTTTTTTCCTGCTCTGAATCAGTTTGTAATTTTGGTTTCTGCAGATCGTGTATGCAGTTATGCATCGTCAAGAAGTGTTCCAACCTTTTAAGAATCATCCGAGATTTCATGAGCTAGTCGAAAATATTTACACAGTAGGGGCTCCATCACAGTTCCATAGGCTTTAAAATTCAGAAAAAGTAGAAAGAACAGAGTATCCGATTGATCCATCTGTTTATCAATTGCTTAACTAATCATCAATTTATTTATTTATTTAGGTCTTAGACTTTTTCAATAGCCGGATGGACTCTCAAAGATCGGATCGAGAGTGGTCAGTGCAGAAAGTTCTTCAGTTCATCATCAACAATTGTCGGTCTTGGCGAGGGGAAGGCATGAAGGTAAATAAACAAACTCTCTAACATTTACCACTGATATAATTTTTCCTTTCACTAGAATTATTAAAGCTCATTATCATTCGTTTCATTGTTCAATGCAGATGTTTACACAACTTCACTTCTCATATGAACAAGAGAGCCACCCAGAAGAGTTCTTTATTCCATACGTTTGGCAACTAGCTTTTTCCAGATGGTAACACACACTTCTACTCTTTCATATCACGATGTATTAACGAAGAACGCCGATCTCATTCCTTATTTTTTTGTTCGCAGCGGATTTAGCTTTAATCCGGACGCCATCAACTTATTCCCAGTGCCACAACAAGTTGAGGTAAGTGCCTCAAATGAGCCAAAACACAAACAAACATTCGATTAATGAAAACTTGATGAACCTTTGGACATAACACTTGTAGTCCGATCTATGAAATTGAATGTGAATTTTCCCATATTGAATAACTCATTGCAGAAAGAGACAGAAGAGGTTAGAGGAGAAGAAGAAGTGGAAGAAGGGAAAGAGAAGAAGGTGGAAGAGTTGATGGAGCAGAGAATCGTCTTGGATCCATAGTAGAAGAAAATCTTGATGTATATATTATTATACGGTTTCAAATAAGAACATACTGAAAAGACGTAATTATTCTCCATTAATAGTGTGTAGATCCATCCTCTTCTCTTTTTTGTTTATGTAGTAACGAATCTGAACGTAAATGTCCTTAACCTAATACAGTATACTCTTCCAAAATGTTGGAGAAGTTTATCCTCCATTAATAGACTGTGTGTAGATCCCTCCTCTCTTTTTGTTTATGTAGTAAGTAGTAACGAATTTGAACGTTAATGTCTTTAACCTAGGCACAATACTCCCCTCTCTTCCAAAATTTTGGAGAAGTTTCTCTACTTTCCCTTTTTATCTAGTTTCATGATAAATAACTGTAAAACTTACCATTTTCAAAATGTTTCTTTTTCACTCTTGCCTTAAACGCGTGGATGTGTAGGTTCATATAATAATACTTGTCGGTATTAAATTAAAAAAAGAAAAAAAGAAACAATGGTGTAGATTTTACCATCTTCAGATACGTTGTTGTATCTCTCTGATACGTCTTAGGGTTTCTCTTTCTGGATGGTCTCGAGCGCCTCCTCCCTCTCTTCCCATCTATCACCCATCTCTTCTGCCCTCGATTCCCTTATATTCATGTCCAATTAAACCTTTCATTTCTCCCGCCCTCCTCACAGATCTCCTCTTTCCCTCTCACCTCACCTTTTGAATCTCTCCCCAATTGCTCCGACGAGAGAGAGATCCAAATGGGTTTCTCTGATTCCTCCCCTACTTCACCGGAAGCTATCAACCGCGGAGAAAAGGAAGAAAAGAACAAAGGGTCCGATGGGGACATTGACGAGAGTGATTCCACAATCACTAACAGCGTCATAACCTTAGAAGACGAATCCGTTGTTGACGTTTCCGGTCAAAGTCTGAACCTTTCTCTTCTCGACAATTCGGAAAATTCCGTTAAAGGTCTCTACTTTTTCAGAAATGTGTTCACTTTAATCCCCAAATCCATTGGAGGGTTCGGGAGCTTGAAGAAGCTCAAGTTCTTCAGCAACGAGATCGACCTTTTCCCACCGGAGTTGGGGAATTTAGTCGATTTGGAGTATCTTCAGGTGAAGATATCGTCGCCGAGTTTAGGCGACGGGTTGTCGTGGGGAAAGCTTAAGGCTTTGAAGGAGCTTGAGCTTACTAAAGTCCCCAAACGTTCCTCTGCTTTGACCCTTTTGAGTGAGATCTCTGCGCTTAAGTCCTTGACGAGACTCTCTGTTTGTCACTTCTCCATCAGGTAAAAAAAGCTTCCGCCTTTTTTTTTTAATGCTCTGTTGCTTCTTAATTGCTTCATCTCAGCTTCCTTTGCATTGATTACTCAAAAAAACAGATGGTGGCTTTTGACAGTTTCAGTTGTGGATCCGTGTAGGAAACGTAAGTTAGATTAACTATTGACAGTGATGATACGTTTTGTTACTGCTTAATGGGTGTGTATAGCATGCCTGTAGATTAATTTTTTTTTTTTTTGGTTTCTTACCTTGTTGATGTTCAATTTGATATCTAGATTGTTATGAAGGTTTTTGTTTAATAATGTGAAACTAGTTGGATTCTTGTGTTTGGTTCATTGTATACATTTCTACACTATGCTTCAAGTTATATTGGACTGGATTTTAATTTTTTTCTCCTCCCTTGTTGTAGATATCTTCCTGCGGAGATTGGATGTCTTACGAGTCTAGAGTACTTGGATCTCTCCTTTAACAAAATCAAGAGTTTGCCTAATGAGATAAGTTATCTGAGTTCATTGATGTCCTTGAAGGTTGCTCACAACAGGCTGATTGAGCTCCCATCGGTTTTAGCTTTATTACAAAACTTAGAAAGCCTGGACGTATCAAACAACCGGTTAACATCACTGGATCCTCTCGATTTAAGCTTAATGCCTAAACTTCAAATTTTAAATTTACAGGTACTTGTCACTCTGATTTTGCATGTATTACTTGGATATGCATTCCCTGCAGGAGTTCACTGGATTCTTTAATCTGACAGACCTTGGATTTTTCTTTGTTTGTTTGAAGTTCAATAAGCTACCGTGTTATTGCTGTATTCCCACATGGATACAGTGTAATTTGGGAGGAAACTATGAAGAGATGGGAGTTGATACTTGCAGCTCTATGAGTGAAATGGATGTTTATGAAACCCCTTATGCAAACAACACCATAAGTGTTCCTCATAAAGGTATGAATTTAATACTTCTTTCATTTGCATCTGATCTGCATAATAAAATTGAGAGTTTGATACTTCTTTGCTTTTAATTTTGATTTTGTTGTACTGAATGGTGGATTTGCTGTTTCTTGGTTTTTTGCAGGTTTCCACCGTAACCCATTAATTATGTCAACTGGGGCATCTTCCATCAGTAGATGCTTCTCGGCTCGAAAATCAAGCAAGAGGTGGAAGAGGAGACAGCATTACTACCAGCAAAGGGCAAGGCAAGAGCGCTTGAACAGCAGCAGGAAATGGAAAGGTGAAGTCCCTCCTGAGGAATTAAATTTGAAGAAATGGAAAGGTGAAGTCCCTACAGGGAAACAGGGCGGCTTGGATGTTTCCCGGAACACTGAAAAATCTTCAGTTGATACTATCTGCTTAGATGACAATTATAAACTGTTAGGAGAGGATGAAATAGGAGAATCTGTCGTCACTTCTGAAGAGCAAGAGAGCAGTTTGAAAACTGATTTAGTTTCTGAAAATTCCCAATTAAAGAGTGAAAGAGATAACAAGGAGAGCTGTGAGGTCAAGGCATCTTCTCCTTCTTTAGAAGATACTACAGGCTATAATTCTTCTTCAGGGAGAAAGAAGCCAAATCACAAGTCAAAGAGATGCTATGATGAGGATCTAGATAACCCAAAAGCTTCTAAATGCCACAGGCCATCTAGTGATATTGCTAATCTATCATACAAATACAGCAACAACTCATTTTGTAGCACAGAAGATTCACTTCCTGATGGATTTTTTGATGCTGGGCGTGATAGGCCCTTTATGCCTCTTAGTAGGTATGAGAAAATTTTGCCTCTTGATTCACGTGAAGTCATACTCTTGGACAGGTAACTACTCTCACTTATAGTTAAATCATTTATATTTTATCTATGTGCTTGAGCTGACCTTCTGTTATCTTAAAAGGGCAAAGGATGAAGAATTGGATGCAGTCACTTCCTCTGCTCGAGCCCTGGTAGCTAGATTGAAGAAGTTGAACCGTTTAACTGCAGATGTAGACAACTTACAGGTTGCATCATATCTTGCCCTTTTTGTGTCGGATCACTTTGGGGGAAGTGATAGAACTTCTGTTGTTCAAACAACCCGGAAGGCAGTGTCTGGTTCAAACTACCAGAAACCGTTTATTTGCACCTGCTTGACTGGAAATCAAGACGACTTGGCTGCTCTTAACAAACAGGTTTCAGGGACTGCTCAAGATGTCAGTTTGTCCGATGTGTGTGAAACATCCTTGCGTTCTATCAAGTCCAAGCGGAACTCTATAGTGGTTCCTCTAGGGAAACTGCAGTTTGGCATCTGTAGACATAGGGCATTGCTCATGAAGGTACTCATATAAATTTAGCTATATAGGATTTCTGAACTCTTTCACTTTGGTTACTCTTAGTTCTAATTTTTTATTTTTCTATTTTCCAGTTCCTTTGTGACCGTATGGAACCTCCGGTGCCTTGTGAACTGGTTAGAGGTTATCTAGACTTTATGCCACATGCCTGGAACGTTGTTCCTGTAAAGAGAGGTGACTCATGGGTTCGCATGGTAGTTGATGCGTGTCGTCCTCATGACATCAGAGAAAATACAGATCAAGAATATTTCTGCCGGTATAACACTTTTGGACTCTCTTTTTACCAATCTATGTCGTCTCCTTGATTCTCTACCCTTTGATCTTTTCTCTTTTGATGCGTACGTAATGATCTTTTCTTTCCTCAATGTTTCAGTTACATTCCTCTTAATCGTCTTAGCGAATCCATTTGCGCAAGAGCAAAACTGGAACCAGGGAGTTCTTTTTCTTCCCTGTCAACGGGTGAAGGAGTAGAGAGAGCTAATAGTAGTCTAATCCGATGCAAGCTAGGCTCCACTGAAGCAGCTTTGAAGGTTATTTTTTTCAATCTTTGTAGTCTTTACCCTCTTTAGGTTTTTAGTAAAGTTGCTGAATAGTTTCATATATCATTTCCTCAGATGCGCACATTAGAGGTTTCCGGAGCTTCCGTAGATGACATTAGGACATTCGAGTATACGTGCTTAGGAGAAGTGAGGATTTTAGGAGCCTTGAAACATGACTGTATCGTTGAGCTATACGGACATGAGATATCTTCCAAGTGGATAACCTCGGAAAATGGAAACGACCATCGACGCATATTGCAATCTTCTATCCTGATGGAATACATACAAGGAGGATCCCTCAAGGTAGCATTCTTCGTTTATTTAAAAGAGCCTCTGCAGCATCGATTAAAACCTTCTTTATGGTTCACTTTCTTCAGGGTCACATTGAGAAGCTCTCTGAAGATGGTAAGCATCATGTACCCATGGATCTAGCCTTATCTATTACAAGAAATATCTCAAGGGCTTTAATGGAGCTGCATTCAAAGGATATAATTCACCGTGACATAAAAAGCGAAAACGTTTTGATCGATCTTGGCACTAAAAAAGCAAACGAAGAACCTGTCGTGAAGCTTTGTGATTTCGATAGAGCTGTTCCTCTGAGGTCTCACTTACACGGTTGCTGCATTGCACATGTCGGAATCCCTCCTGCTAATGTCTGTGTCGGTACGCCACGATGGATGTCCCCTGAGGTCTTTCGAGCTATGAACGATCCAAACTTTTATGGACTTGTACGTTTCTCCAACATTACTTTGTTCATCAAAGTTTCTATGTTATTGTCTTCTTGGTTATGAGTTTGCTCATGTTTTTATTTTTCAGGAAGTGGATATATGGTCATTCGGGTGCCTAATCTTCGAGCTACTGACACTACAAATCCCATATTACGATTTATCTGAGCTTCAGATTCATGAATCTCTACAGGTTTGTCCCACTTTTTGTTAGTACCCTTGATAGAAACAGGTCTTCTTTACACTTCCTTGAGCTATGACTGTCATTAACAAGTGTATTCACTTTTACTTTTCACCAGAAGGGCAAAAGGCCAAAGCTACCAGAGGAGTTAGAGACACTGATCTCTGAAACAGAGGAAGAAGATGAATCAGCCAAAAAACTGCGTGAAGAGTATGACTTAACCGAATCTGACTTGGACACAATGAGGTTTCTCATCGATGTGTTTCATCTTTGCACGGAGGAGTCTCCTTTAGACCGTCTAGACGCTGGAGACCTTCATGAAATGATTCTTTCATGGACAAAAAGCAAGTCTCCTACAGCTACAGGTACTACTTCCACTTGAAAAAAGCTCAAGCGTTTGAGGCTTTAAAGAGAGGAGATTAAAGACTGACCTGGCCTGGACTGGCCTCAGTCTTTTTATTTATTAGGCTTTAGGGATTAATTATGAGACAAAGATTTGGTCTCAAATAGGGTCTAAGGCCTCGTAAGCTTATGGGAAATCACAGAACAAATAGGTCGTGAAATTATAAATTATTTCTCGTAACTTGTTTGTTTTTTCTTCATCTTGTAACATTCAGTAGTTCAGTGTATCATTTGATTTGTAGACACCATTGTATCATTCTTTCCAGGTTTTTATTTACACACAGAGCATATGAACCAAACAGAATTGATGCGGCTACATTTATCTGTCTTTTTGTAAGATAATTGCAATATGTATTAGTGTATAATCATTAGTTTTCTTGGCAGACATTCTTTGACATAACCGTTTAATCAAATCACATTACTAAACCTCCTCATTTACACAATAACATGGAGAATGAACTCAACTTTGAGTCTCTGTTGATTGATCCTAGAAAGAAAAAAAGTGTGGAACTGTACAGTTAACAAAGATAGACGTGAAAGTAAATAAATAAAAAGATTGATTGATAGATAGAAATTGAGATGATAAAGAAGACGCTACATGGACTTCCTATGGACAACTATTATGAAGTTCCCCCTAACAGTCCGGGAAGCGGAGGCCTTTTCCTCATCTGGAAAAATGATATCCAGCTGACGGTGAATACAAGCAATAAAAACTTCATTGACACACAAGTAACTGAGAAAGGGATCACCTTTCAAATCACCTTCGTGTACGGTGAACCGGACCACACGAAGAGGCTCGCAGTCTGGAATGAACTCTGTACTCTACAACCTGCAGCAGGAAAACCGTGGTTCTTAACTGGGGATTTCAACGAAATCACAGATAATAGCGAGAAAAAGGGAGGACCTGAAAGAGCAGAGGGTACTTTCTGTAATTTTAGAACATTCCTATCGGAGAATGGCTTATTTGACATCAAACACTACGGTAATTTCCTGTCCTGGAGAGGAAACAGGAATTCCCATTTAGTCCAATGTCGCCTCGACAGAGCTATAAGTAACAGTGAGTGGCTAGATATCTTCCCATCCTGTCGCAGTCAATATCTGAAGTATGAAGCCTCGGATCATCGCCCTCTTCTTACTTTCCTGGACACCAGAAGGAAAAAAGGCATCAAATTGTTTAGATTTGACCGTAGGCTGAAAGATAACATTGAGATTAAGCAAATCATTAAACAAGTTTGGGAGGAAAATACTCATCTGTCCGTGGACGAAAGGTTATCTCGCTGTAGACAAGCTATTTGCAGATGGAGTAAAGAGTTTCATGAAGATAGCAGAAAAACCCTGGATGACCTTAGAGAACAATTGGATGAAGCTCTATCCAATCCAGTTCCGGACGAAGACCTAATTCATCAAGTGAATATAAATCTCTTGGCAGCATACAAAAAAGAGGAAGAATACTGGAGACAACGCAGCCGTCAATTATGGTTAACTCTTGGTGATTCGAACACGAGCTATTTTCATGCTACTACTAAAGTGAGGAAATCTAAAAACCGCATGACTGTGATCGAAAATGATGATGGTGTACCTTCGTTTGAAGAGGATAAGATTGCAGAAGTTATTTGCAACTACTATGAGAAGATCTTCACCTCTACCCCAAATGAAGGATTACATATAGTGGAGGAAGCACTGCAACCTTGTGTCTCACATGAAATGAACGAAGCACTCATCAAAGAACCTACACCGAGTGAAATCAGAGAGGCTGTCTTCGCTATCCACCCGGACAAAGCCCCTGGCCCTGATGGCTTCTCAGCCAGCTTTTTCCAAGCCAATTGGGAAGTAGTAGGTCCTGCGATTATCAAGGAAATCTTACTCTTCTTCTCCACGGGATCTCTGCAACCCTCGCAAAATGTAACACACGTGCGGTTAATCCCGAAGATCATTGGAGCAAAGAAAATAGCAGACTACCGCCCCATTGCTTTGTGCAATGTGTACTTCAAAATTATCTCTAAGCTATTGGCGTTAAGACTAAAAGCAGTACTACACATGATCATATCAGAGAATCAGTCGGCTTTCATTCCTGGGAGAGCTATAGCAGACAATATTTTGATCACACATGAAGTGCTGCAGTTTTCTGAAAACATCGAGAGCTCAAAAAAGATGTACTATGGCGGTAAAAACAGACATGTCAAAGGCTTATGACAGGGTTGAATGGAGATTCATAGAGAAAGTCCTACACCAACTTGGCTTTCATGAGAAATGGGTACATCTAATCATGCAGTGTGTATCTACAGTGTCCTACTCCTACCTCATAAATGACTCAGTTCACGGAAAAGTAATTCCTAAAAGGGGAATAAGGCAGGGAGATCCACTCTCCCCCTACCTTTTTATTCTATGCGGTCAGGTTCTTTCAGGCCTATGTCAGAATGCAGAAAAAGATGGTACCTTACAAGGTATAAGAGTGGCGAAAGGCAGTCCAAGAGTGAATCATCTGCTTTTCGCAGATGATACCATGTTCTTCTGCCAAACTTCTCCAGCGAACTGTGCAAAATTAAAGAGTATCCTGCAAGCCTATGAACAAGCGTCTGGGCAGAAGATTAATAGTGGAAAATCATCAGTCACTTTCTCTTCAAAAACCCCTGCAGCCACAAAGATATTAGTGAAAGAATCTCTAGGGATTGATAAAGAAGGTGGCTCAGGGAAATACTTGGGGTTACCTGAGCATTTTGGCCGCAAAAAGAAGGATCTTTTCACTGCAATAGTCGACCGTATTCGACAACGAGCATCGAGTTGGTCCACTAGACACCTCTCTAAGGCTGGAAAGTTAACCATGCTTAAAGCAGTCCTCACTGCCATTCCCACCTACGCTATGTCATGTTTTGAGTTACCTGCAAGCTTATGTAAAAGGATACAGTCAGTACTAACGAGGTTTTGGTGGGACGCGTCTGATGGGGTCAGGAAAATGTGCTGGGTAGCCTGGGATAAACTCACAAAACCTAAAGCAGGAGGTGGGCTAGGCCTTAAGGATATTCAACTCTTTAATCAAGCCTTGTTGGCCAAACAAGCATGGCGCATCCTAACAAACCCGGATTGCCTCCTGGCACGTGTATTACTAGGTAAATACTGTCATAGTAAGCCTTTCTTGGATGTGCAACTACCTACGGTATGCTCTCATGGTTGGAGAAGTATCCTACATGGAAGAGACCTCTTGAAAGGGAACCTAGGCAGAGCTATTGGTAATGGTGCCTCAACTAGAGTATGGAAGGACTCGTGGATCTCACTCGACAAAGACGTGAAACCTTTTGGACCTATACCAGAAAACGCACTAGACCTCAAGGTTTCTGACCTCCTTACATCGGACATGAAATGGAATCAAAGTAGAATTGAGGAGTTCTTACCTCTGGTGGCAAAAGAGATACAGCTGCTCCAACCAGGACACAAGGATACAGACGACATCTTTGTATGGCAACCACTTCAATCTGGCATGTATACTACCAAATCAGGTTATTATACAATGGCGATGAGAGATCAGAGGGTGGTAACACTTACCCCGAACGACTTTGATTGGATTAAAGATGTCTGGTCCGCTTGTTGTTCTCCAAAAATGAAGCTTTTCATGTGGTCTATAATCCAGGAGGCCCTCCCTCTTGGTGATATCCTGCAAAGAAGGGGACTCCAGTCAGGAACGTTCTGCACCAGGTGTAATGAAATAGAGTCCACTACGCACATCTTTTTCAACTGCCCTTTCGCAAAGGAGGTTTGGAAATTGATACCACTTAAGGAAAGTATTACCTTAGCGGCTGGGTTCAGGTTTAAAGAAGCAACTACGGCCTTCAGACAAGTGGTTTGTCTCCCTTCGACAGGCATCTCTACAACCATCCTTCCGTGGGTATGTTGGGCTTTATGGACAGCAAGGAACACACGCATATTCGAGAATCGGACTCTCACATCTACAGAGGTGGCATCAAAAGCCCTACGGTTAGCAAGAGAATGGATCACAGCCCAGAACCAGGAGCCGAAAGAATCACGTTTAGTACCTTTGACAATTGGATCGCANCGACAGGCATCTCTACAACCATCCTTCCGTGGGTATGTTGGGCTTTATGGACAGCAAGGAACACACGCATATTCGAGAATCGGACTCTCACATCTACAGAGGTGGCATCAAAAGCCCTACGGTTAGCAAGAGAATGGATCACAGCCCAGAACCAGGAGCCGAAAGAATCACGTTTAGTACCTTTGACAATTGGATCGCATCGGGGTCAATTGATGTGGGGTTCAAACATGGTATGCAGATCTGATGCGGCGTTTGATAAGCAATCACAAAGGGCAGGCCTTGCGTGGATATTCACGACACCATTAGGAACACACCACAGCAGCGGATCTACATCTATTGACTCTGTTAGCTCCCCTTTAGTAGCAGAAGCTTTAGCTCTTCGTGCTGGTCTTCTCTCCGCAGTGAATCTCGAGTTGGACAAACTCAAAGTATTCTCTGACAGCTTAACGCTCATTCGAGCAATTAACAACGACGCACAGGTTAAAGAAATCTTTGGTATTGTCAAGGATATCCAACAGATTTCTTCTGTGTTTGTCGGGATTTCGTTTTCTCACATCTCTCGATCTTCCAATGTCGAAGCCGATCACCTAGCAAAACAATCTCTATTTTCAGTTTCTGTATTGGACCCAGCGATGGGCTAAAACTTTGGGCCCGAGGCCTTTTATTTATTTTAATGAGTATGTGTTACAAAAAAAAANTTGTCAAGGATATCCAACAGATTTCTTCTGTGTTTGTCGGGATTTCGTTTTCTCACATCTCTCGATCTTCCAATGTCGAAGCCGATCACCTAGCAAAACAATCTCTATTTTCAGTTTCTGTATTGGACCCAGCGATGGGCTAAAACTTTGGGCCCGAGGCCTTTTATTTATTTTAATGAGTATGTGTTACAAAAAAAAAGATAGAAATTGAGATATACATTGCAAACGTGAATCATATATTACATTACAAGAAAAAAGTTCGAAGCTTATCGAGACTCGGAGGAAGATGACACTAGAGAAACTCTAGGAACCTGAACAGGAAACTCATGAATCTCATCGATCCATGGATTAGTCTTCTTCTCCTTGGACGGATCAATACTTCTCAAAGCTCTCCAAACCGCACTATTACACTTAAAACCTGAACCAAAAGCAATCTGCCAAGTCCTATCTCCTCTCTTGATCCTCCCTTTAGCTTCACTATACGCAAGCTCATACCACAACGAGCTACTCGAAGTGTTCCCAAACCTGTTCAAAGTCATCCTCGAAGGCTCCATATGCCACTCAGAAAGATCCAAATTCTTCTCAATCTCATCCAACACTGCTCTACCTCCCGCGTGGATGCAGAAATGCTCGAAAGC